CCCCAAAACCCCAAAACCCCAAAACCCCAAAACCCCAAAACCCCAAATTTTAAATATTAAATTGAATTCAAATTTTAAATTTTGAGTAGCCAAAACCTGAAATTAGATGAGCAGAACTACTAAACTTAAGGAATATAATAAAGCTAACCAGAATATGACCAAGAACCAGTCCACAGGTAATATATGGGGGAAAGGAGTTATAGATAGCTTTGGAAGGAAGAGAAAGTACTCAAGACCTAAGAGTTGAGTTAAGAAACATAGATCGAAATCTAGGAGTACTGTGTGTTGTGGAGAATTATAGTGTCGATATCTAAGCATATTACAAGAAATGTACTGCCAAGAGCTCATGAGACGATTGCGTTGACTTCTAGGTAAGATCTTGAGTTTATAAAGTAGATGAACTTCCCCTCAGATGGCTTTATCAAGCTCACAATTTTCCTCTTGCTATAAAAATAAGATGCAGACAAAAGGGCTGGCTCAGATGTAAAAGACCTTTAAATTGTTTAGGGTGGAGTCACTGACCGAATCTCTTAAACAGAAGCAAAAGAAGTTGTCTAAAACAAGAGAAAAGAGACTGAAAATAAAAGATGAAAGAAATGGCCTCAAGGATGAAGTTACTCATCTCAAATAAATACGTAAAGCAATGTAATAAAAGAGAGAAAGAACTTAATGATGACCTTGACAAACAAAGAGAACTAGCTAAGGAAGCCATACAAACAATGGAAGAAATGTACCTCAGGTTTGAGAAGGAAAAATAGCTATATTCAGATGAAATGACAATCCGACTATGATCAAAAACTTCAGAGAGAAAAGGAGCGATTTGACCAAAAGATCCATATCTATAAGAAAGTTAACTTCATTGCTAGTAACGATGCTAAAGAACTCTCCAAAGATGAAATTAACATCGATGACCCTAATTCCTCCATCGAATACGCAAAAGCATCCGTAATGCTAACCAAAGTGTACAAAATTAACAAATCCCTCCAGGAAGAAATCGACCAATTAAAAGCCCAAATCCTCACCAAAGACAAAGAACTCAAGTCCAAAACCACCAAAATCACCCAACAACATCAAGAGTAACATCTCTCTCACCTCCCCATAGACTTTCCTCCCTCCAAACCACCCTCAGCACCGCCCAAGAAACCATCCACTCCAAAGACCAGGCTCTCACCTCCCTCAACCTAAAACTAGAATTCCTCGAACAGACCCACTTGGCCAAGGCCAATTTCTTCACGAACAAAGAGAAGTCTTATAAGGAGAAGCTAGCCTCGCTTCAGAGTTATGTAGACCAGATTGTGGTGCAGGGGGCGCAGAGTCAGGAGATGTATGATGAGAAGAAGCAGAAGTGGAAGATGAAGGAGTAAGAGGGTTCTGAGGGGCTTTATGTGTGGATGTCTTAAGAGATTTTTTGTGAATTAGAGTATGTATGCTAACCTTTTTGTTACAATAAGTGTTAATTATTTTAGGAAAAAGTTCATAAGTGTTATCAAGTCAATGAAAGGTAGCGGAGAATCAGAATGGCTGAATATTTATAATAACCTAATGGAGCAAATAACTTCTTTGAAAAAGGATGTAGATCACTTAAGAGTTGAAAAGGAAATATTGACGAAAAGATCTCAAATTGATAGTGGTAGACAAGCTATGGTTTCGCTTGAAGGAACAAATTATATATCAGACAAAGAGAATATCCCAACAAATGTCTCGGACTGTGGTTATGATTTCACAAAAATATAAATGCTTACAATTTTAATTCTGGTAACGGGGTTTTGGGGTTTTGGGGTTTTGGGG